TTCCTCAACTCGAATGGGTCCTCTTAGGTCTATAAAACTTCTTGTCTCAAACTTTTCATTTGCGCCGCACTAATTAATTTGAAACTTTTACATTGTTTACACATATTTTAAATACACTATCGGGATTTGACGGGATAAAAAATTTTACAGGTAAACAGTACCTACATATCTACTTCTTTATTGACAACGTTTCGACGTACTGCAACATGTCGTGGTTCTGTCGTCGTCCAACCAGCCACGAGGAGGTCGTCCTGAACCCATTGCTAGCGGGGGGAAAGGGATTGTTACTAATGGAGACTGAGAATCTCATTGCTAGCAATATACCCAACCAGGTCGACTTCCTCGCGTTTCCCCCTGGATACTATCATGGTTAATTCCTGATAAATTCATCACGATGGGCTAACTGCTCTGTTTTCATTCTCATCTATCACCCTTCACTGGTGCTCCGCCAGCGTATCCCGTTAGCTCAGGCGGAGTTACCATACCATTTTCACCCATCAAAAAAAAGACCCCATTGCTAGCAATATAAAGTTACTAAACCCCATTACTAAAAATCCCTTCTCCCCCCTCTCTGTTATATTACGAATGTAAAAAAATAAACTCGGTAGAATTGTTATTCCATTCAGTGTTCATGCATCCTTAATAGACGTTTCGCTCCGGGTATAAATAAATAAAATTGTATGTACATACAATATTAATTTAATTTTTAATATATGTGGTACACACAACGCCATCTAGTTTTAAATAGACGTAAAGTAAGTCATTTTTAAAAGACAAATAATATAATTAGAAATATACATGTATCATGAGAACGAAGTCATATGTAAAACTAGCTTTTACATACGACTTTGTTCGCTTGATATACTGGGATATATTCGCTGACCGCGATATATTCTCCCATAACATGCTCAATGCCATATAATACTTATTATATTATATGCCATGGACACTTGTAAACTGACGCTCCACCTAATGGAAAGTGGTAACTGTCGCCTATAAACATGAGCAGTACCATGGACATAACAGAGTATACTGTTTCACCCATGATACACCACATGCATTGCCATTCCTGAGGACTCAGGTGTTATTCCTCTGTACCCTGTAAATTTATTGCCATATCCCACCTTTCAAACTGAAACACAGCCATGCATATATTAATAAGGATACCTACATGTTTCTTTTTAATATAAATTTGAAGAAAATGAAAAAAACCCTATAGAAAATAAAAATAAAAAAAAAGTGGTGTAACTTGAATGAATGAATTAAGTACCACGTTTGCTACACCCGTACTCTCGTTGAAAATAAACTATCTCTCAAAATCGTCTGATGTAAATATTTTTTAACCTCGCAAATGTAATATTAAAAAGGTACCGAGAGGATTCTATTGTATTACATAAATTAATATTGTTCCCAATTGATTAATCTATTTCTTTTCGAGATTGTACACTGATAATGATTCCAAAATTAAAAAATTCATCTATTATTCACTCGAGAATTTATTTCTTAATACAGACCCTTGCTCTCAGACCGCCATTTTGGTCATCATTTCAGCCATTATCCGTCCACTGTTGGACATAAACCTCCCCCATAGACTGCCATAAAGAACAGTCCTGAGCCACCTGCATCCACTGACTCCCAGCAATACATTTCAGGTCGTCACTCCATCTAGTGGGGGGTCGTCCTACATTGCGTTTACCCGTACGTGATCGCCACTCAAGAACCTTTCTTGCCTATCGGTTGTCGGTTCTTTGAGCTATATGACCAGCCCATTGCCAATTCACCTGAATTGGCAATGCTTATCCTTCGGGCTATGTCGGTTATGTTGGTACTTTTGCGGATATCCTCGTTTCGGATTCTATCACGAAAAAAGACTCCGAGTATAGCCCTCTCCATAGCCCGCTGAATAACTTGGTATTTTTTTATACAACTTAGAATGGCAAACAAGCTGACGGCCCACCTGATGAAAAGTGGTAACCGTCGCCTATAGACATGAGCAGTACCATGGACATAACAGAGTATACAGTTCCGCCCATGATACCCCCATGCGTTGTCATTCCTAAACACTCGGATGTTATTCCTCTGTACCCTGTAAATTCACGCCATATCCGACCCTTCAAACCGAAACACAGCCATGTAAACACAACTGTTTCAAGGTAGAAACACGAATGGGACAGAGGTACCCAAACAATCGACTTTTGTACAAAATCTCCCTCTACAATTTCACTTCAATTTGTGGGACAACATCTTACACTATTTGCACAAACGTCCCATTTGAATTTTCATAAACGAATTTGTAACTAAAGCTCCGAAGGTATAGTTACAAATACCACTGCGTACAATTTCGACCCTTGTTGCCGTATTTACGTGAATATGAATTATTGAATGGGATAACAGGTACATACAGCAAACATACATAGTTATGCAAATATTTCGCATGTCAATTCTATTGTGGTATTGCTATAATGCAACTGGGCTAGTAGAAATGTTTTGTAACGTGTTGGGCGGGACTATAAGAGGTTATATCCTCTTATAGATAGATACTCTTTACTGTTTCCCCCAAAAGATTACAATAGTAAACTTATTCTAGACTGAGGGACTGATTCTAACCAGAGGGAGACTTTGTACAAAAGTCGATTGCTTGGGTACCTCTGTCCCATTCGTGTACTATTCCATTATCACCCATTAAAAAAAAAACAATTTCACTGCGCTGCGTGATTCTGTCCAATCTTAAAATCGTTAAACTTAATTTCTAATGTAGACAGTGTATTCATTTATTTTAACATTTATTATTATGTAGGTAGTATATTTATTTATAGTGTATGTATTTATGTAATATTTGATTATATATTTTAATATTATATTTAACTGTATATTTGTTTATGTATTAATAGTTGTAGCACTTCAGCTGCCCGCTAACGAAATGCTTTCTTATTGTATCGGGTTGACTGGAAGAGATCTCTGTCAGAGATAAGTCCACACTTGCTCACAACATTTGTAAATGCATTATATTATATGTAAATTACAAATGCAATAATGAATATACATATAAGTCTACCACAACTTGTATCAACTCCGCTCTCACTGGAACGGCGTATTGTACGCTTCAGTGCCGCATCGCGTCGCAACAATACGTCACAGTGGCGCGTGGTTCGCATGCCGCGATGTCGTTGCGAAGTCAACCGCAGTTCTGGCAACTATGCACCCGATGGTTAACGGGTCGGACTGCGCTGGAGTGATTTCCGTTAGGCTGCCTTTACTTTATATTTGTGTCGAAATATGCATAAATAGTATTTTGGATATTAAGTTAAAATAGAATGCTAACAAATGCATTAGAAACCTTTTAACAGAGTGGTTTTAGCAGTGAAACTTATTTTTTTTTATGATACCTACTTAAAGGAAGAGCGAAATATAACTACATGGGTCAGATAAAGAAAATATGTTTTTTTTCTGTAATGTATGATAATGGTATGGTAACTCCGCCTGCGCTATCGGTATACACTGTCGGAGCACCGGTGATAGATGACTGATGAGGATGAAAGCAGGTCAGTTAGCCCATCTAACGGTTCATTTTTATATTATACATTACTCTACCTGCAACTCAGCATTTCAACAACCGATAGACTCTTTAATTTAACTGCAGAGCTCGTACTTGGCAGCGGACGGTGCGTCCTGCGGTACCTGAACACTGCACTGTTGCCAAAACTCTATTTTTATAATGAAGCTGCTTTATAACGTGATAACTCTGAAATCGGTCAAGAAAATAACGTTGTTAATTTAAAATAACGTTGTTTCGACAGATTCATCCATTTATTTTTTTTATTAACTTAAAAAAAGAAGGTCTCCATTTTGTTGTATTTTTTTTATATTTGTTTAGTCATAACTTCGTCGGTTACGAGTATAAATTGATTTAATTTTTTTTCAGAAATTTTCCTAATGTTTTCAGTTCTTTTAAAGTCCATTCAGAAGTTTAGTTTCTAAATTTTAATATCTTGTTTTGCAACGTTTGAAGCCTTTTTTTTAATGAAACTAAAAAATGATCTAATTAGTATTAATATCAATTCTAACTGAATATATTTGGGGGGAAAGGGATTGTTAGTAATGAGGTCAAATAGCCCTATTACTACACGATGGTTTCCAGGGGGAACCACGTGGAGGTCGACCTGATAGGGTATATTACTAGCAATGTGATAGGTAGCCTACATTACTAACAATCCCTTCCCCCCTGTATATAATAGTTTTTTATGGGTGTCTACGCACATAAGGAGAAATAAAGCACATAATGTTCTCCGTATAGCAACACCAGACAAGTCGTTGCTATTCACCCCGTGAATACCGGAGAGATGGAACAGTCAAGTCTTTATAAAAAAAAAACTAATGGCTTTCAAGAGAGTAGGTAGATGTGTGTACACGGAACAGTTTTCAAGTTATTTTTATATAATATAAAATTTACAGTCTAACTATTTGTATATCTATTCATTAATAAATATAATAAGTCAAGAATAAAAATTTATTCACGCCTCGAAAAAGGGAAAAGATTGGTGATCGAAACAAATTGGTGACCCCGACGTGATTTCAGCTTTACAAATTTACAAGTTTATCAAGTGGCAAAAATCTCCATCATCAACACTATATGTTATTCGAAGATTTGAAACAATAATCACAGGGAAGTAAGCCCAATCATTGTAATAAATTCCTATCCATTCCTTTTTTGTGTGGGTAGAAGTTGACAATTAAAAGTACGGATATATTTTTAGTTTAACTATTAATATTTCATTTTATATTGTATGTGGAGGTTTTTAGTACGATATAACGATCACTAAAATCATATTTAAATTCACGCCGGTGTTTTTTATCGGGTATTCAGAGAGGTTTCAACAAATATATTTGTAGCTACTTTTGATTTACTAAGTTCTATAACATATTAACTTGGAGCTGTTTTCAATGTGTGAATTACTTCAGTATAAGTCAGTACCTATTGATTCATTGTTTGCACTTTAATAATGGCAGACTATAAAGATTTATTAAAACAACGGAGCACAATTAGAGCTCAATTAACATTGTTTGAAAAATATTTACGACCATTACTGGAAACTCGAGAAATAAATAAGGTTAGGATTCATGAATTAAACTTAAGGCTAGTAAAAACTCGTTTGATAAGGTGCAGACAGACATTGAGAAGTGGGTATTGGATGAAGATTTAGATAAACAAATTGAGGACCGCGAACAAACAGAAAATAAATTCTTTTCTTTAATTGCTGAAGCTGAAGCTCTGTTAGAATATTACAATAATGAAAACCAATCTGAAACTTCATCTGCCAACACTCAGTCTGCCTTAAATCTGAAGCTACCTCCATTACATATTTTAAGATTCGACGGACAGACCAGCATGTGGATAACCTTCAGGGATACCTTTCTGTCTTTGATTCATGAGAATGGAAGTATTCAAGAAGTTGCTAAGTTTCACTATTTGAAGTCCTATCTAGATGGCGCTGCCAGTGACGTTATTAGTTCTATCGCTGTTTCTGCAGCTAATTATCGAATTGCTTGGAACTTATTATGTGATAGGTACAATAATAAACGTATATTAATTAATGAGCATTTAAAAGCGATATTTTCAATCGAACCTTTGTCTAAGGAATCAGATAAGGGTATTCGTTGTTTAATTGATGCATTTTCTAAAAATTTAAGCGCATTAAATAGTTTAGAAGAGCCGACCAATTCATGGGACACGATTATTATATACATAGCAGTTAGTAAATTAGACAGTATTACAGCGGGTAAATGGGAAGAATTTAGAAGCAATAAGGAATCACCTACTTTACAAAATTTTTATACATTTTTACGTCAAAGGGCAACAGTTTTAGAGACAGTCAATGCTAATAGATCAAATAAAAATGAAAAACGCAACAATATGGGTAAATCTAAATCATTTATTATTTCCTCAAAGACATCTCCTGATTTTTCTTGCACAGTTTGTGGTTTAAAACACAAGTTGTTTGACTGCAGTATGTTTAAATCGTTACCAATAGAAGAACGTATTGCTAAGGTTTCTGCTGGTCGTCTATGTAAGAATTGTTTCCGAGGCGGCCATCGATCATTCCAGTGCAAAATGAGCGGCTGTAGAATCTGCAAAGGAAAACATAATACCCTATTACACAAACAACTTTCATTACCTGTAAATTCAACCACTCCACCTCAAGCACACATACCATGTGATCAACAAACACATGATTCATCTACAGTACTGACAACTACACACAATGCTACCATTCTAAATGAACCTAAAACCACAGCTAATTTCTCGAATTCTATAATTATGTCTGCTGTCGCCGCCAATCAAGCTCTTTTGTCTACAGCGTTGGTCAAGGTGACAAACAATGACAAACCCTACATATTAAGGGCTTTATTAGATAGTGGTAGCCAGTCTACGTTTATAACTACAAAGGCACTACAGTTGATCGGACTAAACAATATTCAAAGTGTTCATCAATGTGTTTCTGGTATAGGAAACACAACTTTAAACATTACTAAATTAATAGATATCACAATACATTCTACAGTGAACACCTTTAGCATTCCGATACGATGTTATGTCTTACCTCATATCACAGATTCCTTACCTCACAAATCAATATGTATTAATGGGTTAGGTATTCCAAATAATATACAACTTGCAGATCCTAAGTTTTATCAATCATCAGAAATTGATATTCTTTTGGGAGCTGATGTTTTTTGGGAGTTGCTAGATAATTCAAAAATAAAACTAGGTCCTAAATTACCTATCCTTCAAAAAACTCAATTAGGCTGGATTATAACCGGTCCTATTAGCGGAGGTAGTTCAAATAGTCATGTTATCAAATGCCATTTTTCTCAAGAGATATATAAACAACTAGCTATGTTCTGGGAATTAGAAGAAATACCTAATAATCCTAAATCTCTTGATGACAATTATTGTGAGAGGTTCTTTCGAGAAACTACTAAACGAGATGACAATGGAAGATTTTGTGTACAAATTCCACTTAAAGAATCACCACAAGTGTTAGGTGATTCATACAACGTTGCACTTAAAAGGTTTAAACAAATGGAAAGAAAGTTTAAACGCGATTCTTCTTTCCATCGAAATTATAGTAATTTTATATATGAGTACAAAGAGTTAGGGCATCTTGATGAAATATCCGATCATGAAAAATTAGGCTATTATCTTCCGCATCATGCAGTAATCCGAGAGAGTAGTAGTACCACAAAATTACGTGTGGTTTTCGATGCATCGTCAAAAACGTCATCTGGAAAATCCTTAAATGATATTCAATATGTAGGTCCAGTAGTACAGAACGATTTACTATCTATCTTAATACGCTATAGACAACACAAATTCGTTATCACAGGAGATATTGAAAAAATGTATAGGCAAATTCTTGTCGACCCTAATCAGCGCAGTTTGCAAAAAATTTTATGGCGTGATAACGAACAGCAACCAATTAAAACATTTCAATTGAACACTGTAACCTATGGTACCGCTTCTGCACCATTTCTCAGTACCAGGTGCCTCATTCAATTGTCATTGGTATGCACTGATCCTATTATAGCAAGGTTATTGAAGGAAGATTTTTATGTAGATGATTTTTTATCGGGTGCTGAGACTGAATATGAGTTAAAAAATATAGTTAACTCTGTAACTACTATTCTAGCCTCTGCTTGCTTTCCGCTTCGCAAATTCCGAACGAACGCCCCATCTATATTTGATGATAATCCTGACACCTTGACACCCAAAGACTTAGATGTGAATGCTCGAACTAGTGCTTTAGGTCTTAAGTGGGATCCACGAAGTGATACTCTTGAGTTTTCTTTAAATATTAATACACAAGAGAGGATTACTAAAAGATCAATCCTGTCCAACTCAGCTAAATTATTTGACCCCTTAGGTCTATTAGGACTTTGTACTATCATTCCAAAAATGATTTTACAAAAAATATGGTTGAGCAAATTGGAATGGGATGATCCTTTACCAAAGGAACTGGAACAGTTGTGGATAGATTTTATTTTAAATTTGAACAGTCTATCATCTGTTCGTATTCCTCGTTGTGTTTGTATAGCTAATCCCATTAATGTCGAGCTACATGCGTTTTCAGATGCATCTGAATCAGCATATGCATCATGCATGTACATGAGATCGATTGATGATGCAGGAAATATTTTAGTTAGATTACTATGTGCAAAAACCAAGGTCGCTCCACTTAAAGCTATTAGTATACCTCGATTAGAACTTTGCGGTGCATTATTATCAGCCTATACAGCATATTTCTGGACAGATTCATCAATAGTTCTTGGGTGGTTACACTCGCAATCTCGCGACTTGAAAACATTCGTGTCCAATCGAGTATCGGAAATTCAGCAGCTAACACTTGCGCAATCTTGGAGACATGTGCCGAGTCAACTAAATCCAGCTGACTTAGCATCGCGTGGCTTGAATCCCAAACAAATTCAGAGGGTAAATTTATGGTGGGATGGTCCTGAATTTCTAAGGCAAAATGAAAGGGAATGGCCGCAAAACATTGCACTTCTAAGTGATTTACCTGAAAGAAAAAATCTAACTACTACTGCTAAAACATTAACAAACACTGTTACAACTACATACACACATACAAGTATTAATATTAATAAAGTCACACAAATTATTGATTTCAACAAGTATTCTAAATTTACTACTTTACAGAGAGTCATGGCTTATATACTAAGATATTTACATAACAGTAAATGTAAAATAGACAAACATACGGGACACTTAACTGTCGAAGAACTTAATTTAGCGATGAAAAGGTTAATTAAACTACATCAACAAGAATGTTTTGCTACTGAGATAAATATTTTAAAAATAAACAAAAACTTACCTTCTAAATCGCGACTGCTTTCTCTAAGTCCATTTCTAGACGATAACGGGTTCCTGCGTGTCGGTGGCCGTCTCCAAAATTCTTCTGAAATTTATACAAAAAAGCATCAAATTTTGCTTGACTGCAGTCACAATTTTACTAAACTTCTTTTTGCATATATGCATAAAAAGCATTTACATAGTGGACCACAATTATTATTAGCCAACATACGAAATGAATACTGGCCTCTGAAGGGTAGAATTTTGGCTCGTGGTACAATAAATAAATGTTCTGTATGCAGATTAATGAAAGCTAAATCTATAAATCCTTTAATGGGAAACTTACCAGCTTCAAGAGTTACTCCAAGTTATCCATTCGAAGTCAGCGGTGTAGATTTTGCCGGGCCGTTCTTGATCACAGACAGAAAGGGACGCGGTTGTAAAATATCGAAGAGCTATTTATGCTTATTTATTTGTTTTGCCACAAAGGCAATACATTTAGAAATCGCTAGCGATTTATCAACGGATGCATTTATTATGTGCCTTCGTCGGTTTATATCACGCAGAGGAAAACCGAATCAAATCTATTGTGACAACGGTACTAATTTCGTAGGTGCAAATAATGAAATTAATAGTTTTCTAAATTCAGAACATGAAAACATCTCCACGTTTGGCGCTGATGAGGGCATTAAATTTAATTTCTCACCTGCATACTCTCCTCACTTTGGAGGTCTTTGGGAAGCCGGCGTAAAGGCGGCCAAATTTCATGCGGTCAGAATATTAGGTGATAGGCATTTGACGTTCGAGGAATTGTCGACTTTATTCACACAAATCGAAGCAATCCTAAATTCCCGACCTTTGACCCCTCTCTCATCCGATCCTACAGACTTAGAACCTTTAACTCCAGGGCACTTCCTAATTGGTAGAATGCTAACATCATTGCCATCTCCTAATTTGCAAGATATTAATCCAAACCGATTAAACCGGTACCAACTACTAGAACAATTGAAACAACACTTTTGGGGACGTTGGAGAAACGAATATTTGTGTGAATTGCAACAGAGGAATAAATGGAGAATAAATCAAGACAATCTAAAGGAAGGAGACATGGTTATCTTGAAGGAGCCTAATATTCCACCACTAAAATGGAGAGTTGGACGTATACATAAATTGTACCCTGGACGAGATGGAGTTGCTAGAGTGGCAGATATTAAAACTGCGAAAGGAATTTATCGGCGAAGCTTGCACCAAACCTGCCCACTACTTCACGAGGATGATAAAACAGATCTTCGAGCCTCTGAACCTTCAGTCATCGACCGGAGGGAGGATGTCTACGCACATAAGGAGAAATAAAGCACATAATGTTCTCCGTATAGCAACACCAGACAAGTCGTTGCTATTCACCCCGTGAATACCGGAGAGATGGAACAGTCAAGTCTTTATAAAAAAAAAAAAAAACTAATGGCTTTCAAGAGAGTAGGTAGATGTGTGTACACGGAACAGTTTTCAAGTTATTTTTATATAATATAAAATTTACAGTCTAACTATTTGTATTCATTAATAAATATAATAAGTCAAGAATAAAAATTTATTCACGCCTCGAAAAAGGGAAAAGATTGGTGATCGAAACAATGGGTGAAATTAGAATGGTTACCATTCTGCGCTAATGGGATACGCTGACGGAGCACCAGTGAAAGGCGATAGATGAGAATGAAAACAGGCCAGTTAGCCCATCATGATGAATTTATCGGACATAACCATTATAGTTTCCAGGGGGACCTGGTTGGGTATATTGCTAGCAATGGGATCCTCAGTCTCCATTACTAACAGTCCCTTCCCCCTATATAGATTAGGCGGACATGTGAACGAACACAGGGACGATACGGTCCATAAATGCGATCAACCGAAAAGACAATGTTTTATTCTAAATAGTTGGCCACACTATGCCAGCTCACTAAGTGCTTTTCAACGCTAAGTTTTGATCGTCCATATACCCAAAAACTGTCAATATACCTACATCAAAACAAAAACACTCCGATCCGCTGTCGGAGTGTTTTGTTCAAATGTCTTTGTACTCCGTAAATGTAAATTAGCTACCAGACATACATATTTTTAGATTGCGATCCCGATTTACCTTTTGCATGCTGTAATAGCAGTGTTTATATTCGATTGTAATTTATTTTGTCTACTAATAAATTCTGTTAATATTATAAATGTGAAAATTTGTAATTACGGATCAATTAAATGATTTTTTTTATACCACTGAGGTGGCAAACAAGCTTACAGCCCACCTGATGGTAAGCGGTTACCGTAGCCTATGAACGCCTACAATACCAGAGGTATTATACGCGCGTTGCCGACCCTAAAGAAACCTCTTTACCTCCCTTTTGAAGAATCACATGCTGTAGTCTCTTGGGAAAACCTCGGCAGGGAGCTCATTCCATAACCTTAGTGTTCGTGGGAGAAAACATCTCTGAAACCGCGTTGTACGCGACCATTTAGGCTGTAGGGTATGAGGGTGAACTCCCTGTCGATGGCGAGCCGTACGATGATAGAAAGTGGCCGTAGGCATCATATTAAAAGATATCAGTTCGAAAGAAATAAAGAAGTAAATATAGAAAGAAGGAGAAAAATGGAAAAGAAGAGAGAAATAAAAAGAGATAGACATAAAGAGACAAAAAGGAAGAAAGAAAATAAAAAAATTTGCTACACGGGCCAGGTTATAGTCTAACTTAACACAGGATATTTTATGTACTGATTCATATGGCCACAGCCGCAGGATACAGCTAGTAAATATTTAAATAAACAATGTAAACTCGAAATAAAATAGGGTACGAAGCCATCACCCAGTACTCATAACGAGATATATCCTCACCTCAGAGGAAATCGTACCCCCACTGTTGAGTATTTTTTTTTTTATGCCACTGAGGTGGCAAACGAGTATTTTAATGAATTGATTTTTTTTATACTATTATTATTGTTACCAGAAGGAGACCTTGTACAAAAATCGTTTGCATGGGCATCTCTGTCCTATTCGTGTTTCTACCGTAAAGCGGTTGTGTTTGCATGGCTGTGTTTCGGTTTGAAGGGTGGGATATGGCGTGAATTTACTGGGTACATAGGAATAACACCTGAGTCCTCAGGAATGGCAACGCATGGGGGTTATCATGGGCGAAATAGTATACTCTGTTATGTCCATGGTACTGCTCATGTCTATAGGCGACGGTTATCACTTTCCATCAGGTGGGCCGTCAGCTTGTTTGCCATTCTAAGTTATATAAAAAAAACCCACGGGAAAGGAAGGGGTGGCCTATTCTATGCCGGGACCACATGACTATTTTTAGTTACCTATATACATATGTATATGAACAATAGCATGGACATAACCTATGATGGCCATAGTTCTTATGCTTTCTGCTTTGCCACCTCTAAGTACTAAAATATTATGCCCTCGTGTCCTGTAATTTCGATGCAATGAACATACTTCAAACCAAAACACAACCATGCAGGTAGCTAGCTGCTTTAAGGCAATTTAGATATATATTCTGTCGTTGCGTGAATTAAAGGCAAATTGTCCAAAAAACTTTCAAAGGCAACATATTTCAGACCAAAAAAGCCGTGAAAAAGTTAAAAGGATCGTCAGATCGAATGAGTGAACGATCCCTTCTAATGTATTGGTTTAAGTGACAAGCGAACGGATATTTAGCGGATGACCTATCATCATATCGACCGTTCTCTGTCCATTGCCGAACATAGGCCTCTTCCTACTTGGTTACCAGTAGTAGCCACGCTTGGCAAGCAGGAAAACCACATTTGGGTTTTGGTGGTATTTTAAGAGGACACTGCTATCCTATCGACTATCATGTTCCCTTAGTCGCCTCTTACGACACCTACGAGAAAAGAGGGGGTGACCCATTCTATATTGGGGCCACAGGGCAGGATGACCTATTCCACCTGTAATATATAAACAAAATTTTAAAATTTCAATACACATCTATTTCTGGTAATTTATATTGAACACAAATGCCTACACTTTTATAAATCATTTGAATCAAAATTCAACGTTACAGTTGTGAAGCAATCTTACAATATCTATTGTAAGATGCTTTAGGCTAAAAACTACTGTATACATAAAGGATTCGAACATACAAAATTGATAATATTTCATATTAAGCTTAATTATAATATTGTTTTTATTTTAAATGCATAAAAATCATTTTAAATAACTGATTTGCGCTCTAAAACACGCTACCCCTTGTAACGTTATGTAAATTAGACTCTCTTTTCTGCGCTTAGCCTTTAATTTGGGCCGTTGGGCGTTTAAGTCGTGGCAGCCAGCCTAGCTGTGGCTAGAATGACAGAAGCTTCCTGGGATCTTGACGAGTCTTATTGAGAGACCTCATCGTTCCAAGGATTTTTAAACGTTGAGGGACCACAGCTTCACGTTCCAGGATTACGTGAGTAGCCATTTCTTCAGTATCAAAACAGCCTTAACAAAAAGTGGCTTCTATTGTGTATAAATGTTTGTTTAATTGGCAATGGTCTGTTATTGTCCCTATCATTATTTTAAGGTTTCTATCTAGATAATATAAACGTTTTGATAGTCGTTAATTTTTTTTTGATGGATGAAAATTGTATGGTAACCCCGCCTGCGCTGACGGGATACGCTGGCGGAGCACCAGTGAATGGAGATCGAGGAGGATGAAAACAGGCCAGTTAGCCCATCATGATGAATTCATCAGGAATTAATCATGATAGTTTCCAGGGAGAACCGCGAGGAGGTCGACCTGGTTGAATATATTACTAGCAATAGCATTCTCAGTCTCCATTACTAAGAATCCCTTTCCCCTTAGTTGTTGATTTAATGTTGTTTCTCTGCAATCAGTAACTAACGCTACCTCTTATAACTTACACAGTTTAGGATGTAATTTACATCACGCTATTCCTGTTTATATCCGCATCTGTCTTCTGTCGCTTCTTATTACTCACGGTAGCGTCGGTATATATATCTTACGCAAGAAATTCTATATCTATTACTGTCTGTATGTGTACTAACTTTACTAAAATGGTTTCCTTTACCTTTATCCTTAATAAAAAGTGTGTCACTAATAAAACCAAAAGTAAGTATTTGCACACTTCTTATTGTTTACTGGCGGCCCGTCCCGGCGTCGCACGGATGGACACATTTAACATTTCCCTTCGCTGCTCTGTTCCTATTGATCATAGCGTGATGAAAAGTATACTATAACCTGCCCAGGAGTATGAAGAATAATTGTAACAAGTTTCGTTAAAATCCGTCGAGTAGTTTTTGTTTCTATAACGAACATACAGACAGACAGACAAAAATTTTACTGATTGCATTTTTAGTATCAGTATCGATCACTAATCACCCGCTGATAGTTATTTTGGAAATGTATTTCATGTACAGAACTGACCTCTCTACAGATTTAAATTTGTTTGTAATAAACTTATCAAGGCCTATTTTCAGCAGTGAACAGTCAACGTCTGATGATGATGATGATGAAACTTATCAAACTTATTGTAGCAACGTGACTACATAGTCCAAAGAATCAGATTACATTAATTTATGATATATTTATTTATTTATTATTATTTCTCACCACAAACAATTAAGGACTTAATATCTATAACTGGCAAAACATTTTAACAATATCATTTGTGGGAGCTGGTGCCTGTACTAGGTATTAACCCTGTACTACAAGTCACCAGGACCCTTACCTCGAGCAGTACCAATTATACAGATGAAAACTTTCACAAAAAAAAGGTAATGGTAAGTACTATATAAATGTGGCATCAAATTTATGACCCGAGATTGAATGGCTCAGAGCAACAGTGGACATCAGTGGTCAGTAAGTGAAAATATAAACAAAACAACACTTAATAAGGTATACAAACATAAAATAATAATGTTCCAATTCTTGATATCAGAACGTGAATTATATTTTGTTAAAACAATAACAAAATCGCTCTCGCTACCTTCTCCAACTTGAAACCCAATCTGGAGCATCATCGATCAAACGGTTTCTCGTTACATTCGCCGGCTGTTTCTTCCGTTGTCATATAGATCGACACGCGTGAAATAAGGCGGGAAACGTGGCCGCGACCAGTTATCATATATAAATATATATACGACGTCAAAATGTGACGCGGCAGGAAATAGGCGGGTTAGTAAAAAAATACACTGCCTTTTAAGGCACCCGTTTATATAGGTTTTCCTATCATTCTCACCATAGCCACAGCTGTGATTGACGGATAATGTGGATAGAGACGTTGATGGCAATCGTTTACATTCGTTCGACCATCGATCATAACTAATTCATAACTGAAATGGA